CAATCTTTTCAAAGAATAGAGAAGCGTCCCGGTTAGTCAACCCCCGATCAAGCATCTGGTTCATGGTCCGTAGTTCCTGTCTTTCCCCATCATTCTAATATCCACCTATCACCAGGCTTTCACAACTAATCTTTTAGGCATATCAAGACCATCGTCGATATCATCAATAAGATAACCCTTGGGCTTGTCATCCGTTCGGAAATACCATAATGAAAGGAAGTCTGGAACAGCTCCGCCCCTCCCAAGCTAGGGAAGGCACATAAAGGAAAGGATGAACAACCCGCTAAACCTTGTATTTTGATTGAATTTCGACTGAAAAGTAAACCCTGTTGAAGAGTTCGTTCGTCTGCAAGACTCACAAAGTGGGTCGTACTCAACCTTAAATCCCAGATGGCACTTAATCCTGGATGGCATTTCTTGTAGTTTACCAATCTCAAAGGTGGCAGCTACTACAGCTTCAACTTAGACTAGGGCATTAGATTGGGCACCTTCTATTTCTCTTTCTTTGGTCGATAGATAAATACGAGGAGGACAAATTCCCGGTTGACTAATGCCAATAAATGTTCCAACTACCCTACCTGAGCGGGTGAAAGGCCCTTTCTTTCGGGCAGCTGTTGAGATCATAACTTGGATTACGGTTAGCGGTTTCACCTTTGACCAGGTACAGCAAAAAGCAAGGTCTTTCAAGTGACTTTCATAAAGCCAGTAAGTAGAGCTAGAGCTAGCTGTTTCTAGTTAGGGAGCTGAAAAACTACAGCTTAGGTGACTACGGCTTTTCTTCCGAGCTGAAGGGCGCGCTAGCGCACGGGGCTAAAGTTGTCAAAGCGCACTATGGCTTGACTTTACGTTTCCTACATCAGGCTTTTAAGCCGTATCTTGGCCCCCCTTACTATGAACTATGGGCACAGGGGAGGGGGGATGAGCAAACAGAGGCCCTGACGCGCTACGGCTTTGGTTTCCAACTTGCTCTCGTCTCCTTCGTTCCTTTCTCTCTTGACAGTCGTCCTCACTTCGCTCGCCTCTCACCACACAGAATGTTTTGGCATCTGGTTATAAAGCTAGTAAAGTGGGTGCTTTCCTATAAAGCGAAAGAAAGTCTTGTTAGTGAGGGCAGATCAAATCTATATTTATTTGCTCAGTTCGAAGAAAGACCTGCCCTTTATATGCATATGGAAAAAACAACTATACTAGTAGTTGACTTGTTCGGATCAAGTACATTTTATGAAAGAAGGGCCTATATATAAGACTTGAGATGTCCCTATTACGTAAAGCCGGAACTACTACTTTAGAAGGGCACTAGGCTTTCCGTGTTGGATTCCGCAGCTCGGTTGACAATGGGGTTCAGTTATTGGAAAGCGCTTTGGGATCCCAATCCTGGCTATTTTCGGTCCTGTAGCCGGAATGGCTCGACCAAGACTCAAATAATAGGGAACCTGCTAATAGGCAGTCCAATGAATTCAATGAAGAAAGGGGAGACAGATCTTTAACCTGTCAACTAGTCGGCGTGCTTTCTTTACGAGACCATGCTATCACCGAGATGGCCAACCAACACTGAATTTGCTAACCAAATGCATTGGGCTCGGTCTAAGAAACTGTATAGGTATCGTACAACAGCCCTATACTCAAGGGCGACAACTAACTTAGCCTTCAACTCACATTCTTTCATACCAAACAAGTTCTCTCCTTCGGGAGATGGGCACTTTCGGTTTCTCCGTTAGTTACGCTACTCAAATACTGGTTTTCCAAGTAGGAGGAGTAGCGTCCCAAGCCCAGTCCAGTTGATTCACGGTTAGCTTTCTATAAGCCTGCACCTTTTTCATTCTAGTTCCGAACTTCTTTCATTCTTTCACCCCCTTACTACTAGTTGAGTAGTTTCTAGTCTGCCCACTTCCAGAAGCAGAAATTGCTACCGGGCTATCTCTTTCAGACGTCGGGGAACTACTTATTGACCAAAAGGTCATCCAGCCCCGCCAGTTCAGGAAGCCCTTGGGCTTTCTCTCTTGATCTATATCCCAGATCCCGTTCTTGATCTCTTCCATTCCTTTGGCATAGGCATGCTAATCTGTCTTTCCGCAGATCCCACTTTCCTTGATATGGCTCTTCCATGGGATAGCTCTGAATTCCTAACCCTAGTCCATTCTAATCCTACACCTTCTTGGTATTGATCTCCATCTTTTGAATCCCCTGCCTACTACTCCCTGTCCCTGGCTTGCCCCCAGTTGCTATGCTCCGCCAAGGTAAAAAGGATCTAAACTCGAAACGAAAAGAAGGTTCCGTAGAATTCTTAGTTTTTACCATGACTATAGAGTATATTACTTTACTACTTTGAGCAATCACTCACATCCGGATTCTGACTACTTGGAGCGGTCCAGAACCTGAATTGATACAAGAGCCTTGTGAACTCTAGCCCCAATGCTACTAACTAACAAAAACTAGCTACTACGCTGACTACTAATATGACTCTCCCTTACTACCGGTCAAGCAAGCTCTCGCTTCCCCTTCTCTTGTCCCGAGTTCCCTTTCTGTTGAACAAATCCCAGGCTTCCAAAAGCGGGTTGTCGCCCATTGATGGTCTACAGGGCTATCTCTATCCTCGCTAAGCTCGTCTCCCTCGGGCCCTTACACGGTCTTTAAACAAGACGCCAGCTCTTTCCCTTGGTCAGTGCTAGTCAAGTTCTTGAGGAGAGACTCTAAAGTGGGAAGCTCCGGAGGATATCTAAGAGCTAGTAAGATATCTAACCCCTTCTTTATAGTTGTATAGTCGTCCTGCCCTTTTGGAGAATGTGAGACCTAGAACCATTCTAAACACTTGATTAAAGGAAGCAGGTCAGGGGGACTCCTTTTTTTTGAACCCACCACTTTTGGATCAAATTCTATGAAAAGGATGTGATTTTGAGGTTAGTAAGCCGGTTGAACTTGCTTCAGAAACCAGTGCCTTAGATTAGTAACTGTAGCCATGAGGAGTGCCACCCAGACCCCTAAAGGGCTAGCCAAGTCTTTTTTAGAGATAGGGGCTACATTTTATATTCCCGCGGGTTGCTCCGTATTTCTTTATCCCAATTCCATTTTTTTACTTTGTTTCAGCCCTTCCCTTCATCTTTACTTTCGAGTACTAAATCTCTTCTTCTGGGGAAGACCCTTCATCTTACCAGGGAGCCAACCGTGCTCTTCCCCGAGTGGTGACTTCTTTCGCGAGTGAAAAGCTCCTTCCTTATAATCTAAGCAAGTAAACTACCTTATGTCGCAGCAACCAGCTAGCTAGAACTAGAAGAAGAAGGCGAGCTACCAGATGAGCTAACCAGCATACTTTATATGTTGAATAGAAGTACGGAAACCGTATTGACCGGCGGATATATTTATTAATGAAAGAACTAAACCACCGCCCGCAGCTGCTCCTCCAACGCCAACGGCTACTTATTTTGTAAGCCATTCCTTTATTCTTGCTATTGATATAGTGGAATTCATTCCCTCCTACACCCTAAAAATCTAGAATTCCTGTAATTAATAATTTGACTTCAACACTTGGGTGGTAACTCATTTACTTCCAACAATGGGATTGACTTCTTCTATTGGAATTGGAACTGAAACTCTTCTCTTTCAAATCCTCATCATATTCAACTGAAACTTAAATGAATGGATTTCCAGAAAAAGCTCCCGCGTCTCCTCCTCCGTATTTACATTGTAAAAAAATAAGTCATTTTCACCTCCCCTCAATGGGCTCCTCTCTTGTGTACTCCCTCTCTTTCTCCGTGTGCAAGATTTCTAAAAAAAAATAAGAACGGAAACCGAAGAAGCGAAAGAGCCAACTACTCTACTGACCAGCCGAAGAGCATCCTTATAAAAGGGAAGCAGGCCCGGTCTATATTGCTAGAGTTATCTTTACTTCACCCCCCACGTACTCCTCTATTCTTATATAAAAATGCCCTTCCCCTTTAGTGCCTGCTGAGACTTATTTCCTCTCGACTATAGTTGAATGGAAGTTTCATTTCCTAAGTCTCAAAAAATTTCTTTTATGGAGTCCCCATAGTGCGTGCATTCCCCTACATAGTCTGTAGAATAATTTATCACTAAGAAGGGTTGCAATATATAAGAGAATTCCAGATTGAAGATCTCTTGACCCCATATACAATCCAGTTCTACATCTTAGCGCTGAACTAATGAATAGAAATTGAGCTTCACTTCGCGAGTCGGGAATGGCATCATTTTAAAAAAAGTGCTAGCGTTGACAAGAGATGAGCTAAAGAGGTGGCCGGGCAGTTGACCATACCCTACCACATACAGACAGCAAGCACGAGCTGTGCCGGCTTATCCGGAAAATGAAACTCTTGTCACCCCAAATGCTACTACCTCTTTGCTAAGCACAGGAATGCTTGATCGAGAAAAGCAAGCAAAGAAGCAGCAGGATACGGAATATGAAGGGGCTGGGGGTAGAGCCAATAACCAATTGAAGAGTTACAGACTACAGTCTAAAGCCCTCAATCATGCTCTTGCCAGTGACATAGATTGTATATACTCTCGCCGATTAAGGCAAATTCTGCGCTCCACGAAAAAACATAGGGGGGACTTAAGGAAGGCAAAACAAAAAGTGCCCCTATGACTCTGGTTCTAGTGAAAGCGATGAAAGTCTAGCTGTGCTCCTGTTTTTCGGGTAAAGGTTTTACGGTGAAGAGCCCGGTCAAGGCGACCTTATTAAAGAGAACATTCGGGACATAAAAGCCTATGGTAATCTCGTCCTTAGTTGCCGAATCTAATGGAGGTTTCAATCCGACGGATCCACCGTAATTTGAAGGTAAAACGAGGGAGATGATGGATGGGAACTCCTACTCTGACTATAGTTGCGATCTCTAAGCGGGATTTTAAGTCATCTATCCCTTTTCTTTCCCTAGCGAGTGAAGAACGAGTGGATGAACGAGTGTTGAGCGAGTGAAGTGCCCCATAAGCTATAAGGGCCTGCTATATGTATCAATTTCGTGAGCAGCAATTGAACTGAACGTTCCAAGTGCATCCAGCAGGAATCGAACCTACGAATTTGCCTCTTTATTAGGTTGGTATAGGTTGGGCGCTTTAACCATTCAGCCATGGATGCAAAGAGACTCAGCGAGTGAACTAGGTTTTGGTATTCCTTCTCGAGCTTCTATTTCTTCCGTTAAAGGAGATTCGAGAAAAGATGGAATAGGAAGACGTGTTTCCAGAACAAACAAGATACGGGTTGAGAAGGGGGAGTTAGCAAAGTTAGACAAGATTGGAATGGGCATAGGAACATGTATTGATGTACCAGATCGGCTAATGCTCCCAGGTTGATGCGATGTATTCCACCAGTTGACTGAAGACTTGATTATTGGTATATCGATCGGTCCAGCACGGATTGAAATAGAAGCCGGTTCGACAGGAAGCTTTTGAAAACGCAGTGCACCCAGGTAAATAAGGAACGAGATGAATACAGAGGTTAAACGAGCATCCCACACCCAAAAGGTGCCCCACATAGGTCTTCCCCGAAACCCCCCAGTAACTAAGGTAAACAACGTAAAAAAAGCACCCATTTCTATACCGGTTCCGGAAGAGCGAAGAAAAAGGGGATGTTTTGTTAATAGGAACAAGAAAGTGTTTATAGCCGTAGCGATATAAACAAGAATACTCATCCGAGCCGCAGGAACATGTACATACAGAATACGAGAATTTCCACCTTGTTGAAAATCTAGTGGTCCTACCCGAAGACTTAAATGAATAGCCATCGCTGTTAAGAACAACCGAGATCCAATGAGAATTTGCGCATAGCTTCTGGTCTTTGACATCAAAAAAGAAGGTTGTAATAACGAAAGGGACATGTGAGAATTGGGTCCTAGCTAGTGGAACAAGAAAGACATGGATCTATATTCAATACGCAATCAAAGGATTTCCCCCAACGAAGAATTCCCCCTGCTTTGTTTTCGCTCCGCTCGTGCGTGGCACTCCTTTTACCTAAAACACGTTTTTAACAAGGATTTTGAACCTTATGAGTGGGTCTTCTCGGGAATGTTTCCAGATTAGGACTTTGACGACTTGGATTTGAAGTCGTTACTGAACCTTCTTTCTTCCCAAGCATTCATAGATGCGTTACTGAGGGATCGTCTGGTTCCTCAGTTGGCCACCACTGGTTCAGAAGCTTTAGGTTCACCTGGGGCAGCAGAAGAAGCCGTGTGCACACACAACTCCTGCTGGAGCGAACAAACAAGCGCGGTCTCACACTCTCAGTGGCCAAAATAGGTACGTTTAGCCGCCGCGTGAAACTCTTCTCACGGTAAACGCGAGGGACGCTTAACTCACGGTTTACTTCGCTTATTCTGAGGGCCTTGGTTTTTATGAAACAGGTACTGCTGGGTTTTGATGAGACGGGTACTGCCGGACTCCTTAGGTTGAGGGGCAGGAGATTTCATATCGGTACATCAACTCAACTAGGAGAGTTTTCTTTCCACTAAACCGAAGGTGACTGAAGGAAAGAGTGCTTGTTCGACTTGTTAGAAGCCGGTACGAGTTGACCCTAGGTGATCCGCACGGAGATTTGCCTTGTCCCACGACCGTCTGGTTTAACCTTTTCCAATCCCGCTTGCCGCCGAAGGCTTTCAACTGTACCATTCCCCTTTGATAGTCTTACATCCACGAGCTCAAACTCTTGTTTAGTCTAAAAACTCTCCTTGTTCTTTCTTTCCCTTATACATGAGAAAAGCTCACTGGCGGCCTTGACAGTCGAGTGGATTCCACCCCCTTCGGGTACTTCCAGGCACAGATTCACACGCAATTCATTAATACCAACAAGTGGGATTGCTTATGCAACTCAACTTCCCCCTCGCTCGGTCAACTGGATCAACGTACATAATGAGCGTTCGCCTCCAGTCTAGTGCCCGCAGCTTTTCCAGCCTAGTAGTAATTCCTCTCCCTTTCGGTCGCTTCGTCCCTCAACCTAGCTGAGTTTCCTTCTTTTCTCGTTCATCAATCGTAAATCAAGACAAACCTACTTCGGTTTTCACAATGGCTGCGCATGAAGGTCACTGGGATATAATAACCAGTCCAACGGCGAAGACTCCCCACCCCACTGTAGGTGGGCGTTCTTCGTACCTTGTTGTTGGTGAGCGGGCGTTACCCACTAACCCGCGAGCGCGAACGAGCCTCCCCTATCTCTTAAAGTTCTGCCTTAAGAGGAAACGGCTGCCGGGATTGTATCCTAGAGCCGCGAACTGTATATATAAGGGAATTGCATATAGGACTATTTACCGATTTCTTCACATTAGTGATCTGCATAAATTACATAAGCATAAGTAGTGAACCAACTAGAAGGTTCACAAAAAACTATAAGGATGTATACCCTCTTTACATCCCAAACTGAGTTGACGGGCAAAACCTGTCCTAATTGTCTTTGGCTTTTGGTAAGTTCTTCTTAGCTTAGTTTAGTGCTAGGATTGAACGGGAGTCACAAAAGTCTAAGGAATCATGTTCCCAAAGATGTCATCGTGCGCAAACTTGAAGAATACCAGCATCCCAATGTTCAAGAGGTTCAGGCTTGAGATGGAAGAGAAAAGGAGAGAAGAGTTGAATTCGAATTATGGACAGAGTACTAGTAGAAATACGATTGGATTACTTTAGCAAAGGGCTGCTGGAAGAGTTGGAATGGGAACAATTGGGCAGAGTTCTTGTATGCTGCGAAAGGAAATCAAAAGAAAAGTCTAAAACCGAGATTCACACGCGGGTCACCAGAAAGACAAAGAGGGCTAGCGGATGCCACCGCGAGGACATCCAGAATCAATAAATTCACGTTGGCTGAAGCGATTCATTTTTTGCTCAAATATGATCCAATTGGTATCTTTTTCCTATGCTGGGTTATTGGGTTTGGCGGCTGGTGGGCACTACTTCCGCAAGAGGCGCTCACACAGCCATCGGTTTGCCTGGATCCGCAGTATGTGAATCTTTTCTTTTGAGGCATGGGGAACCCACCTACTTCTGTACCTCAACATTTTTTGGCAGATACATGGTTGGGCACGGAGGAAGTACACCGTGCAATTGAAGATCTTTGTAGAGAAGAAGAGCCGTTTGATCCTATATAGCCTGGACCTGCGTACTCATCGTGGTCGTCCCTCAGCCTCCCGCACCCATATTCCTAACCAGGATCTCCCTCCTCCTTCAATATCCATATTCTGGGACGATCGTTTCTCTTATATATTCTATTATATATTCTATTATATAATAAGTGAAAATCAAATAAATAAGTCGTCTGTGTAAATCATTCCGACCTGAATAGGGGAATTTCTTGTTGTTCAACAACCAACGTATGCCATTCCCCCCTTCATTTCTACCCATGGAGGGGGATTGGATCAAAGAAAGAAGCTGGGAGAGGAAGCCAGCAAGGAAGACAGCATTGTAGGACTCAATCCCTCGTTCTAGAGCTAAAGTAAGGAAGGTTTTAGAATAAGTCATCGAAGCCGAAGCTTAAAGGTTATAGAGTAGTTATGAAGTAATTCCCAGGTAAGCAAGTAAACTCCCTTATATATAAGGAAGAAGCAGGTCAACGGAGGCCTAGAGAAGGAGGTTCAGCCGGGCCAAACCTGGAGAGCGAGCAAGAAGAGTACACGAGGATGGAAGAAGTTCCAGCGCTTGCCGGGATGGTAGGGAAGAATGAAAAAGCCAGCACGTAGCTGTCAGTAAGAAGAAGGATGTAGCTCCTACTCGTTTTGGTAGACGGCGACGGAATTGTTGTAGATATAAGATCACCGAAAGACTAATCAAGGATGAAAGACCAGATAGATGAAGCGCTCATTTCGCTAACCTTCCTGACAAGGTCAGACGTGTCATGATATATTTGAGTGGATCGGCCCTGGATATCAGCTGAACCGGATGAGCTAGAAGTTCGCTTTTGGACGGCAAAGATGAGGGCCAAACAGGTCTTCTCTGTTGGCGAGTAGTTGTGTTCTGCCACTACCAAGGTCCGGCTTAGGGAATTTGCATTACCATTCTCATTGTTCTGGGCTAATAGAGAGCCTTCCAAAGCTGTGATATACAGGATGAGGGGTCTCCCTTGGTTCTTTCTATCAAGACAGGCGGATTCAGCGGATAAGCCTTTATTCCGTCGAAAGCATTCTGACAAGCCTCGTCCCATTCAAAGGGCACTCCCTTCTTCATCAGCCTTGAGAACGGTTGGCATCTTCCTTATATATATATATGGGAGTTTACTTGCTTACTTGTTAAGGAAATGAGGGCCAAATTGATTGATGTCAGATCCGATGTGATGGATTGTGTGGTGCATGTGACTGGTTTGAAACTCACTTTGATCAGTCTTCTCTTTCAGTCGATAGAGAGGAAGTGAAGGTAAATTCGACTGAGTTACGGGCAGAATGGTTGGGAGAAAGAGTCTCAAGTACGGGCGAGTACGAGACTCCATTTCTACAGCAAGGAGAGAATAAGCCCTGATCTTCTATTTCATAAGAAAGGATCAATGCAAGTCGTAGTTCCGTAACTCAATGAAAGTCGTAGTTCGTTCCATAAGCATTGGAGTCGTGCCTGAATCCTTTGAAAAGCTTCTATCCGACAGGAGAAAGATTGTGTTCTAGCTGGCTTCTATCCGACACGCCTGTGGTCTACTCAAAGGTTGCCCGAGGATAGTTAGATTGATTCAAAGCTTGCAAGGGACTAAAGATCTATTTCAGAAGAGAATGGGATAGGCCAGGCGGAAATACAGAATTAGAATATCCGGAAGTGGGGGTTGATGGGTCAGATGGCATTGAAAGAGGATGGGCTTTCTACTTTCTCGCAGGCTCGGGAGCAATTTCATATTCATGTGCTCAAGAAGCAGTCTTTTAGGCCCGCTTGGAATCTCAGTCAAGCATATTCGCAATCCTTGGGTAGTTGACTACTCGACCAAAGAAAGACCGTCAAATGGTGCTTATATACGCAACCCACCTTCTCATCTCTCATTCCTTTTCTGACCTACGGCACTGAACGTCAACCCCTCTGATAGAAAGTCAATGAGCGCGGTGCAACAAAGCTTCTAGTTTCGGTATCTCTCCCGTGGGTATACCCTTCAATAGTGAGTATCTCTCTCGTGAAGTAATAATTTCGAAT